AGCCAGTGCCATTTCACTTTCACGTGCTCCTTCTATCACAAAGACTGCACAGTGCATAGGAATGACAGCTTCCTCTCTTTCTTGTAGGTATTTTATTACCTGAAGGAGCCCTACAAGCTGTCTGCTGGACGGTTTAAAGAGCGAATCACCTGGGATGGGAATATTGAGCGTAATGATGTTTCCATCGTTATCTGGAATTTGCAGCCCACTGACAACGGGACGTTCACCTGCCAGGTGAAGAACCCACCAGATGTTGATGGCACAATTGGCGAAGTGCGACTCAGAGTTGTGCAGAAAGGTGAGAGGCCAAGAACCCCACCAGAGGTCATGTGAATTTAGCCTGTGTGAAGCATTGGCAGGTCTTCCTCCATGTTTGGGAAAATATATGGAAGAAAAGGGATTATAAAGAGAAAGCATGAGGGTAGTTAATGGATACAAGGAAAAAAGGAGCCTGAGGAAAGGTTATATTCACGGATACAAGTCCCCAGCCTCATACCAAGAGCCCTCTGTGTGTCCCTCTTGTTCATTTATCTGTTTCTCTCCACGCAGTGCATTTCTCAGAAATCCACTTCCTGGCGGTGGCCATTGGGTCTGCTTGTGTTCTGATGATCATTGTGGTGATAGTTGTGATTATCTGCCGACACCATCGGAAGAAAGCACAAGAGAAGAGGATCGAGGTGGCAGACACTGAACTGTAAGGACAGAGGAGAGAGAGAGAGAGAGAAAGGCTTCTGGGAAAGCTTGTCAAATATATCTTCGTAGCTATTCTGAATCATTGGCTTGGACCCTACGCTAAGCGTCTGTAATGCAAAACTGCCAGCACAATTAGCAGTAATTGGCTGCTTACTTGCAGTCAGAACAGAGCCCCAGGATGAACAAGCTTTGGAGTCCTCATTTTGCTCTTGCCCTTCACAGTGGCTCCTCACTCAGAGAAGGATCCAGCTGTTGGGGTGGTAGTTGGCAGATGATCACTCTGTTCTTTCCTCCGTGAACCTGACACTGTGGTCACCATGCATGTAGCATGCCTATTATCTTATCACTTCTTTTTATGTGTTATGTATGTTATATGTAACTCAGAAGGTGACTGCTGCTCAGAACATCTGATGCTGATTTGGGCTTTTTTTTCCCCCTTTTTTTTCGTAACAGTAGAGAAAAGGAGACTCTGAAGATTAGAGAAGAAAAGGAAGCCAGTCCATTAGAAGACTAAAGGTCTTTGGTGGTATATACAATGCAGGTATGCATTGAAACATTCTCTAATTACTGCCTCAGCGTTACTGCAGACTTTCTAAGACAGTTTCACTTAGGTATTTCAATTCTACGGCCATGGTAGCCATAAACAGAAACAACTGAGACCGCAGACACACTTTGCTCTTGAGGAGCCTTCAGAGAGACCGACAACTGAACAGGCCGTGGAGACAGAACTGCTTCTTGACTGAAGAAGAGATTTCTCCACCCTAGCGTAGGAAAGCTGTTGTTGCTGCTTTCCGTGACATGCCTGCTTTGTGGATAAAGAGGAATGAATTAATTTCTTTTTACCAGTTTTGAATCTGCTTTTTGATTCATTTAATCTTTATTGTTTTACAATTGCTACAGGAAGACTGAAACTATTTCCAGATTTGCTGGCTTTGCTGAAACATTTCAGCAGAATTGTTACCCACTCAATTTCTAAGGTCAGCAGTTGCCTTTCCTGTTTTTGTTTTCAACAATAACCCTGAGTAATGAATCTGTTTTGTTTTTCTATAATCTTTCTTCTTAGGTACTTCTAAAGCAGATGGTGAAAGCTTGTAATTTCGGATGTTAGAACCAAGCTGAATTACAGACGCCTCGTGCTGCGAGTGTGGTATCCCTGCTCAACCTGAAATTCTTGCAAGGAAAGAGGATGACATTAACATAAGTTGTAAATTTCCTTCATTGAAGCAAAGCAGGAGGAACTTGCCCCATGAACAAGGAACTTTCCTTAATCTTCACACCTGCAGAACGTGAAGAAGGCTGCTCTGAAGATGAAAAAATGCCAAAAGATTTGAACAAAATGCCAAGATATCTGACCGCACAGAGATTTTCAAAGTGTCTGAGCAGATGCACTCTTGCACCTTAAAAATTGCAAGGTGCATTTGTGTTGCCCTGTTTTTCCTCCCTCAAAATCCTCTTTGACATCACGAAAAGGAAGACTGACTACGTGAGGGATCAGAGGAGCAGCCAGTTGCTACAACGTACTTTTAATCTCTTTGCTACTTTAAATGGGACCTGTTATAGTTCGGAATGTATGCTGTTTCTTATTGGGGATAACGTTTACCAGTGGGTGTGTTTTTCATATCGACCTCTTGCAGCTTCAGTAGGCTTTGTAACTGCCTGCTGCTGTGCAGCGCGTGGCCAAGCGCTTCGGCAGCTCCCCTCCTTTTCCCACTCCCGCTCTGCCGGCACATCCGAATGCTGACCTCCTTTCCCCTCGGCTCTCCAGCCCCGCTCCCCCCCCCTTCCCTCTGAGGGAGCGCACCGCTGCCAGGCGGGACGCTTCTTTCCTCCGCTCAGTGGCCTTACACGCACCGCTGCAGGCACCTCGAAACTCTGGCTGGCAGCGGCTGCTGCGGTTCAAGCTCAGAGGCTGCCCTGAGCGGGCGATGCTCTGGTAGCGTGCTGTCCCGCTGCCGTCATGCTCTGGCAGTGTGCTGTCCCCCTGCCGTCATGCT